TGTTAAAGAAGGATGGTTCTATAAAGAATTTGTGGAGACTATAAAACTACACTGAATAAGCAAATAGAGCTAAATTAGGTTACCCTATACCTAACATTGAGGAAATTTCTTTGAATTTGGCAGGAGGAGACAAATTCACTGAATTAGACTTTGAGTCTATGCTTACACTCAACTAGAACTGCATCCAGATTTCAAAAGTCTATACGACAATAAACACACATAAAGGACCTCTACCAATATGAAAGACTATGTTTTTGGCATATCATCCAGCCCTGGAATTTTCCAAGCTAGCTGTCATGGACAGTATTTTTTAAGGACATTCCAAATGTTTTGTGTGTACTTTGACAATGTGTACATAACTGGTAAGAATGACACTGAACATCTTAAAACCACTGATAAAGTGATTTAAAGGTCTTGGAACAATTGTTGGTGAAAAAGGTTTAAAAAGATAAACAAAGATAAATGTCAATTCATGCTGATAAGAAATTAGTTTTCTTGGTTATATATTAAGCAAGCAAGTATCAGACCTCAACCTGAGAAAACAAAAGCCATTAAGGAAGCACAACCAAACCTGAAAATCACCTCAACAACAACAACTAAGAGCTTTTTTGGGCTAATAAAATATAAATCATTGCAAGTTCATAGGAAATCTGTCTGGTAACACTAATCAACCACTGTACAAGCTGCTACAGAAAAATGCAACTTGGCACTGGGGGGTAAACAACAAGAAGCTGCTTTTATATTAACAGCAAGAAAGAGGCTTTGTCCTTCTGACACCTTACTAACTCACTATGACCCAGGGAAAAGGAAGACTTATATTAACATGTGATGCTTCACAGATGGTGTAGGAGCAGTCTTGTCCCACATGGATGAAGAAGGGGGTGACAGACCCATTGCTTTTGCCATTAGATCTTTTTGAACCAGGGCCTGAGAAAAAATTATTCTCAGTTAGATAGGGAAGAAGGCTTAGGCCATCATTTTTTGGTGTTGTTTAAGAAATTTCATAAGTTTCTGTTTGGTAGGAAGTTCACCATCTTTTACAAATCATAAACCATTGCTAGGTTTATTTGGAGGAAAGAAACAAAACCCCTACCTGAGCATGCCTCAACCAAGGAATTCAAAGATGGGGCTATCACACTAACTGCATACAATTATGAATTGAGAGATACAACAAACCCTGGATCTGAGAATAGTGCAGATAGTCTTAGTAGAATTACCTTTTAAAAAAGAACCAAAGAAGCCTGAGCTATGTACCCAGAAGATGTATTTGTTCTCTTCACTATCATGGATAACTCCAATATTAAATGTGAATGATATTAAAGAGAAGAAGAAACACAAAAAAGATGAGGTGCTTAATAAAAGTATATGAGTACTGTAAGAATGGTTTGCCTGAAGAGTCTGGGTGAATGATGACTCTTAAGGCCCAATATTAAAATAAGAAAATAAAACCCTTTGTGAAGATAATATAAAAGATGGAGAAGATGCAAGTCCATTATCAGTCAGAATTGCCTAAACAAAGTATTTGTAACTTAATAAATGATTATGGTGATATGGGCAATTTCAAATGTTTTAAAGAGAATAACATTAGTAAGAAGGAATGTGATCATCAAACAACCTTTGCTAACATTCATTAGCACTTACAGAAACTAAAAGGGTAACATCAAAAGAAGAAAAGATTTTTGCAATTTAATACACCCACTTCAAATACTGGATCACAGTTGCAAAGTGATATGGTCCAGAATATTACTCATAAACAGTATTTTTGGTTACCAGGAAAGCACTATCAGATTACCTGAGAAAATTGATCAGTCAAAAGAAATCTATGTCAATTAAGGATCTGGAATAACAGCATAATACTTTCCAGATGCCAATAAAAAAAAGTAAAATCATGACAGAACACACATTGAAAGAGAATTTGGTGTTAATGATAATGTGTATCTAAGAAACTATGGGAGAAAGGAAAAAATGGATACCAGGTCAAATTGTTCAATGTACAGGACCTGTGTCTTATAAAGTAAAAAAACAAATGATGGACTTATTGTCCGTAGACATGCAGACCAAGTTTAAAAATAACTTGTGCAGATAATAAAGTGTGAATCTGTCAATCCCACCAAGTCTGATCAGTTCACACCAACTCAGTTTGTTCAACAACCAAGTTCTGTTGATATGAGGTGAACCAAGTTGTCTGGAGTCAGAAAAATGTAAATTCTGGAGTTAATGATTTAAATCCTAGACCTCCTGAGATAGAGAATCCAGATGGTCAGAATCTTGAGTCACCAAATCAAAAGCCACTGAGAAGGTCAAGCAGGGACAATCAAAGTCCCAAATAAGGTTAGACCTATGATTTTAAAGGTCAAAAGGACTTTGACATTATTGTTTTGTATCTTGATTATGTTGTGGCATATTGTGCATTGTTTGTAAGGATGTAATCTACCATAGTGTTCATGTTACAATATAATTGGTGATTTTAGGATTAGACTATCAATTGTTCTATTGAGAGATGTGTTATTGTGTTCTAAGGGGTAAAGGGATGTAATAGATTGAAAATAATTGTGAGGGTCAAGGGAACTCACTCTCTCTCTGTATTAGTTATATTTTATAATATTGTTATCTTGAGTTGATGTCCCCTTGTGTACTTCCTTCCGTCCTCTCTGGTGTTAACCCATTGTGGTAGTGTAGACCCATTAAATGTGTTATATACAACCACAGGCTTCTGTCGTCAATCTATTATAGTAAACACAGTTCTTGGAATCCTCCCTAATTTATGCCAATCATTTAAAACTGCTACTGGTATGGAGTCATATCTCCAGATCAAAGTGTAATCCAACGAACTGGCCTGTGACTTGTTTTTGTCAAAAATATAACCCAACAGGATACTATTTCGGGATTGTTTACAAAGACACGACAAAAAGATTTCGCTGGACATAAATCAACTCAAACTGAAAAATCTAACTCTGAATTTTCAACTAAGCTCATGCAAAATGTGACGCCTGCGTAATAATTAAATTAAAATAATTCAAAATATAATTTTAAACAGACATTATTGATAACGCCAATTTAACGCAATAAACATATTACATCGTTTCTTTGTGCACTGTATAGATTAAAAGTCTGGTCCTGGAGTCATAAGTGAAGTATGTAGATATAAAATGTTATGGGGGGGGGGGGGGGGGCTAAACTGACAGTCACCACGCCTCTTATTCTTGGTAAACTAGATGACTAACAGCCTGACCAATGCATATAACATTTAATCAATAAAACTCTCCTAATGTTTCAGCTAGTATGTAATGCGACACTTGACAAATATTGGATACGAATGCTCTGTAACCTGAAATTGATACCCATTCATTAAACATGTGCTGTTGTTTTGTAATTCACACATAACGTTAAAATAATTGGTTTTTGTTTAGCACGTACCACATGACCAAAATGATCAAGGATCGTTAAACACATATGACAGAAAATAGGGGGATGGTTGTATACTTTTGTTATATAGTGGTATATGAGGGGTGGGGTTGTTAGTAGAGAGATATGTTATGTAACACTGCCTTTGATAGTTACAACATAGAGTGAGACCGTTGTAGACACCCTGCATATATATATATATATATATATATATATATATATATATATATATATATATATATATATATTATATATATATATATATATATATATACCGCTGAAAGGGTTTGGATTCGACTGCCTCTAGATTGGAGAAAGAAAGCTGCTCATCACACCCAATGCAATAGGAGAGTTTGTTGATAGAGACGACACCTTTATCCCGTCCCAGCCTATACTATCCTATCAACTGTGTGTGCTATAATTTACTTCACATTGTTTATCACCCCCCCCCCCCCCCAAAGTCATAACATGCTCACATAGATCGATGCCATCTGCTGTCTTCCCCTCGATGTTTGGTTGTATGTTAATTCACCAGCTCAGATATACCTCCGACAAGTGATTTTTTTCTATCAGAGCTTTTACGCATTCAATGATTCGTTTTCATCACATCTAAAATTCGTAGTCATGTTTTATAATTTTTAGGAATTTTTTTTGGGATTTAAAAACAATTATCTTTAATTAAAAAATATTTATAAAATCGCTGTTTCGATATAGAATTTATTTTAAAAAAATTCATGTCAATTTTAGTTTTACAAGATGCACCTCTAAAGTGTAACCTAACAAAATCTTACATGGATTTCTCTCCCATATCAAATGCAGTTAAAGATTGTTGAGAGAGAATTAATTTTACGTGCCAATAGACATAGAAAAGTATATAAGTAAATAATAAACAGACATGTTTATCTACCGAGCCATTCTTTCGTAGAAAATACAAACTAAGGTTCATAACATTGTTTTTCATTTTTCTCGAAACGGTGAGTTTTGTTGGATACAGATCCTATCATCACAGACAACATACAGAGGGAGGTTCAAAACTCATCAAATCAGGGAGGGTTCAGCTCAGTCCGCATGTGGCCCGTTGTAATCCCCCTCATAGGTTTGTTGATGTTTTTCTTGGGGAGATTTTGGACAACTCCAGCGTTGAGATCAGCAAGAACGCGGACTACAGTGGCTGCAATATCCAGTTGCCTCCCTTCATAGAATATAACGCCCCTGACGCCCCAGGTACTATTGGTTATGTTACGTTTTAAAATCTTGCGTTTGGTTATAAATAGTCTGAAAATGTGAGATTTATCAATGGAACAATATTTACTACGAGCCGACCCGCGGCATATCATACGCCGAGTTGTTGTTTTTTTCTACTTTTCAGTTATTCATAATTTGTGAATTCGACACTACCAACGCTGCCACTGAAAATATTTCTTTAAAACACTATAAGTAGCTCGTTAAGGACGATAACCCCCCCCCCCCCCCCCCCTCCTGCCCCTAATAGTCGTCACTAAACCCGGCTCTGTTTGTAAACATTTAGAGTGAACCACAGCTCACTAAGACCATGTAGGGGTGGGAGTAGTAGGGGAGCGCGCTTACAGCTTGTTTTCTAGCGTCTCTCAGAAGAGAATTATATATATAGATGAAAAATCATTCGACGTGAACACTAGATTTTCTAGAAAAAAAGTGGCCGCCCCTATCTATAGTTATCTCCCATTTTATTATTCAATAATATTAACAATGTTTAGCTTGAAAATTAAATTTTAAGACTAATTTAATATTTAATTTTAAAAAAATGTATAAAAACATTGGTATAAACAACATTAAATGTAATTAAATGACAAATCAGCACAAACAATAATTGGTTGCTAAAATGTGGTAAAAGTAATTTGATGAGCATCAAAGATGGGACAAAGAAGCGTGGGTCAAATGAAAATAAAAATGGGCAAAGAAAGCGTAATTTAATTACTGAAGTTTGTAAAAAAAAAAATTATTAAATTTAAAAATGCCATTTAATTGCAGGTGAAAACGGAAGTGCCTACCTTTTTAAGCAAGACGACCTGACTCCAGAGGAGTGGAGCCAAAAACAAAAAGATTTTGAGAACCACTATTTCGACGAATGGGTGAGCAGAAAAATAGCTCTACACCGGTCACTACCTAAGGCCAGATCTCCTCAGTGAGTAGCTTTTGGTTTACAGTAATTAGGAGTAATTCCCCCTTGTTATTCATTAGGATTTATGAATCATGTAGTAATTCTCGTACAATTTCAGCAGTAAAAGATTTATTATACGTATTATTTTTTCCACAATAATTTTTCTTTGAAAAATAAATTTGTGGACAGTTAACTGAGCATTTTTTTGAAAGTTTATTTTGTTAGCTGTACGCAAAAGGCCAAACCTGGATTTAACCAGGGGTCTCCAAACTACGGCCCGCGGGCCGGATGCGGCCCGCGAGGTCCTCTCATCCGGCCCGCGGAGATCTTTTTGTCCGCGGAAAAATCGTTTGTTGGTGATGGCTGAGGAACTTTGCCCAGAAAAAATCAAAGACATACATGGAAAGAAACTGGCCCCCCGAACTGAAAATTTATAGTTAATGCGGCCCTCGGACTGAAAAGTTTGGAGACCCCTGATTTAAACAAAGCATTACTTATATCGTACACATGCCAGTAAAATTTACGATTATGATGAGACGTTGCCAGGAACCTAGCTGGCCATTAAGAAGGCGTTCATAAACATTTGACGTCACGCAATTCTAGCCAAACTCTTACCCCCCCCCCCCCCCCCCCCCCCTTTCATATTTCACGTCATCATACGTCCTCACAAAAAAAGCCCTGGCAAATACAGAATAAAGGTTACACCCCTTTTTTTTAGCACCAAACCTCCAGAAATTGTCTCTTCCCATATTGACCCGCCACCCCACCCGCAACGGTTTTTATTTTTTAATTAGGTGCATACAAGACTACAAGAATCTCCTACCGTCCACCGTCGTCATCACTTTCTGTAACGAAGAGTGGGCGATCCTGCTCCGGACAATCAACAGCATCATTGACCACACGCCCGCGCATTTGTTGGAAGAGATCATCCTCATAGACGATTTCTCTACATTAGGTCAGTAACTCGATCAAATGCCGTCGTTGACAAAAGACCGATAGTTAAAAAAGGCCGACATGGAATTTTAATGGACAAAACTTTAATGGACAGTCAACAATATACAATGGTCAATGTATTTTTAACGATTTTTGCCCCTGTATAACGTGTGTTTTATATATATATATATATATATATATATATATATATATATATATTATATATATATATATATATTATATATATATATATATATATATATATATAATTTTTTATTTCAACATCACACTATTAGGCTGAATTGTAAATGAATATAATTTCTATTTACATCTTTTTCTATTTTCATCCTGGGGTGGGTGGGGGGTCCCCACTCTTCCACGCCGCCCCCATTACTAACCATGGGTACATGTGTATTTCTTTACAGATTACTTACAACTTCCTCTTGAAATCTACATTCAGCCAATCAGAGAAGTCCGTCTCATCCGGGGCTAAGCGACATCTCGGTCTGATAGAAGCCAGAAATTTGGGGGGCGAAGTTGGCAAGCGGGTGACGTCGTTATCTTTTTAGATTCCCACGTGGAATGCTTTTGACGGTCTGTGACACAAGAAATCGTTTTCATATCAATTATATATCTACTTGTTTTTTTTTAAAACCAAATTTACGCATTGTTATAATTCTTGAATTTTGCGAATAGGGGCATACTCTACAAAAAAAATCGGCGCAGTTAAAGAATGTTTTACTAAATCGCTTTAACTTTTCTACACAATATTCGGTTTTTTTTCTTGCGACCATTGTCTTTGTCAAACATATGGACCGCTAGACACTCTTGGCGATTTTATTCTTCCTTTATGGCCCCCCGGGGAGCTAGTGCTGCAGCCACACCTCTCCACCGGACTAGGTTTTGGACAGTTCTCTTTTAATAGTTTGACCCAATGTAAGCACGGCAGTCCTTACCGCTTTTTCTACTGTCAGTGTTTATTCCAGACTTTTTTCTTCGGGGGGGGGGGGGGGGGGGGCACATGAAATTTTCGGGGGGGGGGGGGTAGACTTTATTCGGGGGGGGGGGGGGGGTGGACACTGTTAAAGGTATATATTTTCTATATAAATTTAATTTCGTTCGGGGGGGGGGGCGGTAGACTTTCTTCAGATGCCTGGAAGAAACTCTGTCTACTGTCCTTCTTCAAGATATCATTCGCAGACCTACTTTCCCCTTTCCTTGGTGATTTAATCTAATTTAACCCTCATAATAATAATTCTTCGTTCTTTGCGACAACCATATACTCAATATATATTTTTTTATTTAAATAAATTTTTTGATTTGTAGACCGGCACTTTAAGCTTGTTTAAGAAGCGAATACGTATATGTAGTAAAAATTAGTCAATGCAATCGACTAATTCAACTATAAGATCAAGCAATTTCCGGTAGGTTTGATGGAGACTTTGATTTCTCCAGTATGTTTGTTAGCGGCTTTTGTCTATTTAATCCTTTAATTTTCTGTAACTCTGATATAGGCTTTGATCTGTGTAGTCCAGCCATTTCTCCAGTATGTTTGATAGCGGCTTTTGTCTATTTAATCCTTTAATTTTCTGTAAGTCTGATATAGGCTTTGATCTGTGTAGTCCAGCCATTTCTCCAGTACGTTTGTTAGCGGCTTTTGTCTATTTAATCCTTTAATTTTCTGTAAGTCTGATATAGGCTTTGATCTGTGTAGTCCAGCCATTTCTCCAGTACGTTTGTTAGCGGCTTTTGTCTATTTAATCCTTTAATTTTCTGTAAGTCTGATATAGGCTTTGATCTGTGTAGTCCAGCCATTTCCCCAGCATGTTTGTTAGCGGCTTTTGTCTATTTAATCCCACCCACTCCTACAGGTTGGATAGAGCCGCTGATCCACCCAATCACAACCAACCCGCGAACGGTGACCTTCCCTGTGATCGAGACCATCAACAAACACACGTTTGCCGTAGAGCTGGCCGCAGACGATGTACCTGTTGGTTCGCTGGACATCAACACCTTGCTCTTCACCTGGATGATGAGGCCCGCCCCTCGCGGGAACAAGGACTTCTACCTTAGGTTAGTTGGGAATGTACTTGTCTGTTGGGGGGGGGGGGGGGGGGGGGGTCTTCAATAAGTGACGTCTCACATCGAGGGGTTGGGGGGATCGGACGATTGTGACGATGTGTGACGACAGGGAGGGGGTTGTAAAAAGTTAAAAAGTTTAACTTCAAAATGTAGCTAAACCGAAAAGTCCCGAGTTCACACCTTCAGGCAGATGAAGCGCGACAGCTGGGGACAGCAACTCTTCTAGGAGAGACAACTCCAAAGTTAAACAACTCTTCGTTTAGTAGGTCTAAAGCATTTTATAGAAATAAAAAAAAAAAAGGTGTGAACTAATATTTAACGACGAAAATTAACGGAGATTAAAATTTAGGTAAAAGGACCAAAAGTGAAAGAACCGCCATCGAATAGAAACAGATGTCTTGAATTGAAGTTGTTTTAAAGACCAACTATTTCGCCTTCAAACGTAACTATGTATTCATCATATTTGCATTAGGTCGCCTACTATGCCTGGTGGATTGTACGCCATCTCGAGAAACTGGTTTCTGTCTCTAGGAGGTTATGACCCGCTACTTTACGGCTGGGGTGGAGAAAACATTGAGATCTCTTTTAAGGTAGATACTACAATATATTATGTTGAAGATTTTACATCTCGAGAAAATGGTTTCTGTCTCTAGGAGGTTATGACCCGCTACTTTACGATTGGGGCGGAAAAAACATAGAGATCTCTTTCATATGTATTATAGTATAATACATATATGATTTAGTACATAAGCCATACGTTGGGGATTGTACGACATCTCGAGTTTTTATTTTAGTACTAATTCGTACCTAATTTTACGATTATGATAGTAATAATAGCAACTATGTCATATGTTATTATATCATCATCATTCCCGTGTACCCATATACGGAACACAGGGACGCAACGACACCTCTCAATCGTACTCAGTTTTTGGGAGATTCCTCCAAGTTAGGTCCACGACATTCCGGCTGCTTGTTCTTCACTGACAACTGATTTTTTCCAAGTTTTTTTCGGCTACATTCCTTGTTTTTCTTGAGATTCTAATATCCTACCTGTCTGGTGATGTTGCTAGTTGGTTTGCGCAAGGTATATCCAATGTATCTCCAATTGCATTTCCGTATATCTTTACCAATAAGATTGTGCCCAGTTTTTCCCCATTCTTCGGCGATTGATAATTTTCTCAGGCCAAATTATGTTCATCATTTTCGTTTAAAACAGGGGTCTCCAAACTACGGCCCGCGGGCTGGATGCGGCCCGCGAAGTCCTCTCATCCGGCCCGCGGAGATCTTTTTGTCCAAGGAAAATTGTTTGTTGGTGATTGCTGAAAAAGTTTGCCCAGAAAAATCAAAGACATGCCTGGAAGAAACTGGCCCCCGAACTGAAATTCGATAGTTAATGCGGCCCTCGGACTGAAAAGTTTGGAGACCCCTGGTTTAAAACAACAATTTCATGTTTTGAAAAAATTTCAGGGGCTGACCGTCATCACATTCTGTAAGGCTGAATCTTTGACTAAATGTTGTGATTGTTGATTTGACCAAAGAGATGTTGTTGACCTTTTTGTTTGGTGCTCTTTTTAAAACCCACAGGTGTGGATGTGTGGCGGGTCACTGCAGTGGTCAAGATGTTCTCACGTGGCCCACATGTTCCGGGACAAATCGCCAGTCCAGTACCCCAATAAAAAAGAGATCACCGTGAAGAATTCCATCCGGGTAGCGGAGGTGTGGATGGACAGGTTCAAGCACTCGTTCTATGAAAGGATCGCATACAACATAGTAAAGTGTTCCGTTGTGTTGGTTTTTATTATTAATACAATGGAACTGAAATATATTTAAATAGTGCTAATTAGTTGCGTAGGTAGGGGGAGCGGTTTTAAAACTTTACTTTATATCTAGAACACCCCTCTCTTCCGTACAACACTAAATATACACATGACCACACAAAAGAACTATTCGGAACTTTTTTTATTATGTAAATTAAAAAGAATAAATAAAAACAATTAACACTTTCCAGATATTGAAATCCGATAATTTTGAGACAGTGGCATAGTTTGTCAAATAGTTATGTATTAGAGTCTGTCCCCCCGCCCACCCCCTTCACACACTCATATGCGCGAACCCTACACATACATGTAAGTATTGTAAGGCAGCACTCTCTCTCAAGGCAGATATTGGTGACGTTACAGAGAGGAAAGAGATACGCAAGTCATTAGGATGCCACAACTTTGAGTGGTATTTGAACAACGTTCATCCGGAACTCTGGTGGGAAATAGATGACGGTGGTTTTTACCTGGGGCTGGTAAGTGTTTTAGACTTTTAAAAATCTTTATAAATTTATGTTCAAATAGTGGCTTATTATCATCATCTACTATTAAGACAATTTTAATATTAATGTTTTCAATCATTTTTAAACTATGGAAAAGGGAAGCAACCAATGACCTTAAATGATTCGCGTTGTAACTATTTTCAGATAGAGAACAAATTAAGCCGTACGTGCTTACAAACTGCTGTCGATGACAGATTTCCACGACTCGAAAACTGTTCTATATTTAATGTTCTCGAGGTACAGTACCTATTTATATCCACCTGCAATAAGTACTAAGTAGGGCTTAATACCCGCGTAATTTGATCCCCATAACGAGAGACGGATGTATCATACTATGTGGAATAATTCAACACAGATTTGGCGCCTAGGACCCAGAGGGACAGTAGAGTGTATTGATACAGCCCTGGGGGTCGGCCCCGCCACGGTGGGAGCAAATCACCAATTTGATGTCGAGATCTTCAGTAAAAGAAGACCTAACCCAAAGCCATTTAATACATGGATTTACGACAGGGTAAGATCAGAAAGCACAAAGATAGTCTTACTCTTAAATTAGAGGGAGAAGAGGATTTACTCATTCCACTGTGTGTGTGTATATATATATATATATATATATATATATATATATATATATATATATATATATATATATATATATATATGTGTGTGTGTGTGTGTGTGTGTGTGTGTATTTATATATATATATTATATATTATATATATATATATATATATATATATATATATATATATATATATATATATATATATATATATATATATATATATATATATATATATATAAGTATATATACTTGATCCTCGCTTTTGATTACGATTAACATGCGCTTGCATTGTTCTTGTACCAACAAACCAGTAGTTAAGATCTAAACGTGTATGTTAGTTCTGTGTGAATTTTTTCTTTGAATTTCAGGAACAGCGACTGGTCAGCGGTGAAACCGGCTTGTGTCTGGAAGCTGGCCGCGAAAGGTCAAGGCCGGCGCTCGCCCCGTGCACGGACGCAGACGACCAGAAATGGTTTTGGATGACCCGGTCCACGTTTCGTGAACTGCACAAGAAAAGGGGCGTCAAGATAGACTGGGGTGGCTGATACCAGGGGCGCTTGAATGTGTCCCCACCTCCCCCATCCCTACAGCTGGAAAAATCTAATATAAATAAACAATATTCAAAAGCCCTCTGCAGATATATATATATATATATATATATATATATATATATATATATATATATATATACATATATATATATATATATTTATTTATTTATATATATATATATATATATATATATATATATATATATATATATATATATATATATATATATATATATATATATATACGTAGTAACAGCAAACTAAGGATTCCGGACATTTTAATAGATACGACGAATTTTACTGCCCCTTCTTCCCCATCGTCCTAATTCGCCATATAACTTCTTCATAGACTACCCTTTCATATAAACTACAATAAAACTTCATTTATATCAAAGTAGTTGCTAGTATTTTGTCAAATATACTAAGCGAAGCGAATTATTATAGTAGTTTGCAGTGAAACAAAACACAAGTTGTGCTATAAATAATTTTGTATTAAAGAGTAGGTGGAATCAACTAGCCTACAATTTGTTCAAAAACTTAATTTTTAAGTTCTATCATTGAACAGGGACAGCAGTGTTTCTTCCAGACTTCCCGGGGGGGGGGGGGGGGGCACTTCGAATTTTCGGGGGGGGGGGGGGGGCGGAAGACATTTTTACCTTTTTTAATTGTTTGAAATGTACTGTAGACAGATGGTTGTTTTTAAAGTAAAGGATTAATTACAGATTAGGGGTCATCCATAAATGACGTCACACTCGTAGGGGGGAGGGGGGTCCGTAATTTTGTGACGATGTGTGGGGAGGGGGGAGGGGGGGTCCGATGTTGCGACGTCACACTTTTGCATTATAAAAAAACAATGTTAGAAAACGAATTTTAGACGTTATTTCGCGTTTTAGATAACTGTTTTAATAAATTGTAATAGTACTAATAGTTTAGACAAGATTTTAGAAAAATATCGATGTTTTAAAAAAAATTCAACTGCAATTTTGAGGGGGGGTTGTAGGTTGTTAGGGGGGGGGGGGTCTGGCTTTTTGTGACGACGAGTGACGGAGTGGGGTAAAAATCGTCAAATAAAGCGTGACGTCATTTATGGATGACCCCTTATTTGAGAGAATATTTTTATTTTAAATCTTCGGCGTCCCTATGCGAGGTAACTCGCGTAGCCAAATTCCTTCAACTCAAAAAAACAAATATTGTTTATGCAGTAAATGCTGTTTAAGCCATGGTGTTATCCACTAAAAAGTGTCACCCGGTGAGATTAGACCCTCCTCTAACACATTCTGACAATACTGAGTAGAATGATTGATCTAAGCACATTGTTCAGTTTTATACTTGAAGAATTCAGGACCGATAATTCATATTGTGTTTTGAGTCGTCTTCTTCCGTAAAAAGGGAATTAACTCTTATTACAAAAAAAGAAGGAAAAATAAGGCGTTAGTTCACCTTGCCTTTGAATTATATGTCTCATTTTGACGGGCTAATTTAACATACTCAACATTTTTAATTTCTTCTATATTTGTATCTAAGATGATAAAACAAAAGATTAAGCATACGAATTGCACGGATGTTGACAACAACAGATTATCAATTTATTTTCTTTAACATTTTTAACCTTTGAAATCAAAAGTGAAAATCTCTCTTTTTCTAACACACTAAAGTGATACCGACTATGAAGTATAGCCTTAGTAGAATCTAGATCTAGTTTTTAAAATTTTAAATGAGATTATTTCGTATCGTACACATACTAGTTTTAAAAAAAAGCAGCAACCAACACACTTTTCAAATAAAATAAAAATTCTAGACCTTTTCACGTCTATTTTACCGCAGGCGTAACTGTTTGAGCATAGAATAGAAATATTGAAAAACCGGTTGCAGATGGGGAAAATTCTAAATTTAGCATCTGCACATACCTAGTGGTCGTCGCGTCCACACTGTGTCACACACATTTTTACGGTGTCGACAAACGATTGTGACTAGATCGGATAGCTGCCGTACAAAGGTAAGCTGAAAAAAGTATATCTATTCTAAATTATTGCTGAAATTAGCATTTAACGAAAGTATTGTGTATTAACAGCTACACTGGTTTTGTAAATCGATCGTAGATCTATGATTATCGGGCAAAATTATTGACCGAGTGTGCTTTTAAAAAAATTGACTTCGATAGCGAATCAAATAAAAAAAATAACTAAGCTTGTTTACCAGTACCGTAGCACCGCGAACGGGCAGAGTCGATGAGAATATTCTGACAGTCCAGTCATTGTAAATCAATGAATGCTTTCATTGCAATTGTGACAGTTACATAACATTTTACTATTTTGACATACCGGGATTAATAACAATTATTCCGATATTATTAATAAACAATGTGAATGGCTGATTGTTGAACAATTAAATAAAATCTAGTTAGTTTCTATTTTAGCAGACGTAACTCACCTGCAAATACGATACGGTGTCGAGTTGAGTTTTTATCCACAGGTAGATCTAGATCTAGATATTATATAATATCTATCATTCTCATTTTTTTTTGTTGAACAAAGTAACCAGATTACATTAAAGATGGTCTTTAAAAAAAATGGTTTGAATATATATTATTTATTACATTAAGATATTTTACTCTTTTGAAAAAAAATATGACGTTTCAATAGAAATTGGAGAAAAGATAGATTGGGGGGGGGGGGGGTTATTATCTATTATTTAAATAAAATGAGTTTATAAAAATCTGTTCTACATATAATGTAATCTACAAATGAATATTTTATTTTTTCAAACCAAAACTTTAACACACACACACAGTCTGCAAAAAAGAATGAATGTAATCAAATACACTGTTATAGGCCTACTCATAATTTTTTTTTTTTAATTTTACCTCATCAGGTAAACTACAACTAGGGCTACCAGTATTCTTGAAGTATTTTAAAACAATATTTCACCTGTGCACCTTTTGATATGTATTATTTACAGGGAGGGATCACTATAGGTCTATGTACACTGGTGGATCTAGCATTTTATTTAGAGGGAGGGGGCGGGGAGAGACATAGATTAAAATAGATTTATTACTTGGACTGGAGGAAAGCTAAGCTTCCTTACATGGACTTTGTATAGCTATTCAAAAGTTGTAAGTTGTAACAATCTATTTGACCACACCAAACCAATTTTGAATAAAATAGCTATACATTTTTAAAAAATAAACTAAAAAATGGTTTTAAAGCCCAATGTTCAATAGTAATCCCGAGAATTTTGGTATAACTTGACTTGAAATTAATTATGTATAACCGATATTAGTTTTCTATTTGAACTAAAGTTTTAAAAAAATTACAAAATGTATATAGTATCAAATTAAGGCAAACTATCAAATACAAATTTTATTGTCTGTATTTTATGAATTGATCCACTTTTTTATATTATTTGGATTGAGTTTTTCTTTATTTTAACAACTTTTGATAAAATAGATTTAGGTTGTATCCCTTGGACATTTTGAAATGGGAAGTAATTAAAAGTTAAAAGCATTTAATTTTCAATGTAAAACAGTCCTATGTACTTTGAATTTTTTTCATAACATTTCAGTGTGTTTAAACTTATTAAACATAGAGACTTTCCAATGTTGTATTCTTTTATCATTCTATGTTTGTATACATGCATATTTATTTACGTATCTATAAATTTTATAATATACATTTATATTAAGGTTTGCAAACTATTGATGAAGCCTACAGAATACAACAATGAATTTTCATATACTGTTAACCTATACAACTATGATACAAGAAGCTGTTTACAATCAGGGGATATTCCAAAACAAGCTTTTATCTTATAAACATGTTGTAAAATTATTGATGTAAGCCAGATCAGTGTTTGAAAAAAGATTCCAAATTTTCTAACCAAAAGTATTACTAGCTTCAAGATTTTTTTTTAATTAAAAATATTTTAAAATTTCTTTTGAAAATGTTAATAGCTTTGCTGAAAGATTTAGGATGTTGCCAGTATTTAGAGCCTATTGGGTTTATTGTTAGGTAAAAGTCTTTTTAAATAGCGTGTCAGAATTGCTGGTATTTCCAAAAGTGAACTTTTAATCCCAAATTATCACTAACCATCAATAGACTAGACCTATCTTTATTGATATGAAATGGTCTGAATAAGATATTTGTATACAATATATACAGTTGTTAGGTGTTACCTAAAGACTAAACTAAACATTACATTAATTTAGTCATATAGCCATTCCAGGCCGGAACTGTTTATGTGTCATATGATGGCATTGTGTTTCCATTACAATACCCAGCATTTACTTCATGCAACATAAATCAGGTACCCATTAGGACTGGGTTTAACCAGAATCACAATAGAACATAAAACCAAACTATAAACTTAGGACAAGAAGGTGAAGATTCAATCATTTAATCGCTATTATAATTATACTTATTAGCAGTTACAACCTAATCCAAACAATCAGCAGTTTTATCGTTCACTTTTATTTTTCTCTTACTTCTGTTATTGCTAAAACCTAATAATATCTTTATAAGAACAAAAGATTAGATATGTCTTGGTTAAACTGTGTATACCTTCATAGACTACCTATGGTGATGTTATGAATGAATATATATATATATATATATATATATATATATATATATATATATATATATATATATATATATATATATATATATATATATATATATATATATATATATATATATATATATATATAGGCCCTATGTTTATTTATTTATAATTATATAATTTAACTAACTAGTAGCTTTTATGACACATTTGTGATCTCATGAAATTTAAACTGTTTCAATTTAGCTGTACATATATATCTAGGAGATGAATGAGTAAGCTCTCCTTTATATTATTGTTCTTACACCTGGGCCTTTTTTTAAAAATCCGTCTCTGTTCTAATCCAACCCTCTGGATTATTTTAAAAGACAGGTATAAAGGCAACGTTTAGGGGAGGGTGGGAATGGGGCTAAAGTACTCCATAGAATTTCACTATTTGGCCATTTGCAGGAGGTGATTTTGTCTGTCAGGTTTTGGGTCATATCACATTAACATAGAACGGAAATTGTAGTAAATAAACCATATTTTTTTGGTTCTAATAAAGGAATATTAGGCATACAGTCTGCACAGTCAGAGGCGTGAAAAAAAATGACGTCTCTCACACATGGGGGTGGGTATTTTTAGACATGTGACATGCTCTACGCCCCATTGAGACGTGAAAGACGGTCACACCTTAACTTCCAACCGCCTACTCAGTTCAGAATGCACACGTCTTAACCTCAACCCTGCTTGGTTTAAGATTTAAACTGACAAGAGTTTATTACCAACACCCAATATGATGGACGGGCCTTAACCCCCCAGCCCTAGCTTAGGTTTTAAAGCCCTAATCTCCAAGCTTTTGTGCGATTTCATTGTTACCCCAACTCAACTTCAACTATCAGCATTTAATTTTTTCATCATTAACACTATGAGAGTGGGCCCAAAACTTGCATAACACGCGTGTTGGGGAGTCAATATTACGTCATATCCGTGTTGTCATTTATCAAAGAATGGAACCACGATGCTAACTTTAATACTAATCCGTTTTTTATCTACTACGTATGGTACTAAATGAGCAACGCGGGAAATTTTCGAAAGTATTTAGCCAGATCTCCCCCCCCCCCGACACACCCTCTCCCTCTCCATGCGAGCCTTTCTGGTGTGTCAAACATTGTATTGTTGGAACCGGTTGAGCAGGGAGATAACCAATGCCAATCAGTGACCCGTGCCTGTGGGGCGGAGCCGTATCGACACTGGGGCATGTTGCCGTCATACCCAGTGACAAACGGGTTTACTGTGGAAACTCCCGGCGGTGGGTAGAGGAGACGGGGGGTAGTGCGATGACGTTGGATGTGAGATAATGATTATTTATGTAAGGGCTTGATTTATTGCTAAATCCGCGTAAATAATCCACGCCTTTTAACAGTCATAAAATATAATAGAGAAAAACGAGAAATATTTGAATTTAAGTGTAAAATGGATTTCAGTCCCATCAGTCATAAAATAAACAAAGAAACATTGATTTTAAAATGGATTTTAACCGTACCGTCAGATAAATAAACCCTGAGCCATTCAGTTGTCTTGTTAGCTAAGTCCCCGTAACTAATCAACGCCTTTTAACAGTCATAAAATAAAATATAAAAGACAGAGGAACATTGAGTTTAAAATGGATTTTAAACGTACAGTCAGATAAATAAACTTCTCATTATTCAGGGATGTAGACATAAAGGTACAGCCCGGGTTGCATTATAAAAAAAAACCGAAACATTCCAGCGTTAATAAACATAACTAAAACTATTGCTTTATTTTTAGCGCTATAAATAAAGTATATCAGCTTTCATTACAATACATAAGCCCTAGAATCCTAATGCAAGTTAATATTTAAGTGTAAAAAAAAAACTCTTAGTATTAGTCCTTTAGGCTGTTGTGTTCACGGGAAAGGTTTGGGTTGTATACGGGAAAGAGTTGGGGGAGGGGGATGCATGTGTCGTGTTCGAGGAGAATAATTTAAAGTTAATGTATGCAATTTTTTTAAAATGGGTCCTCCGATACTACTGTATAAAAAATAAAAAAGTGATTTCCGGTTGATAAAGCTTTCGTTGGAGCGATCACGCCATAAATGCCACCATATTCTTTTGTGTAACATTAATACCGTCTGCAGGTCTGCTTTCTTTCACCATGTCTTGACATTGATAAATGTCTGCTGAAATACTATAACCTGATTCTTGATATACTGCGAACATTCCAGGCCTTTGGTCGTGTGCTTTATAAATTAAATTAAGCTTATGTAAAGCGATTTTAACTACGGCTGAAGAATGCAATTTTGAAAGTTGTTGTCGGCTTATTGTCTCTTAGAGAGCAGGATTAATCGACTTCATTAGCTGTATTACTGGATGCGTTATATTAGCCGGATATAAAAACAATCCTGATTTTCCAGCTCGTATATTGTAAAGGTAAATT